AATGTCTTACCATTGCAGTTTTCAAAGTTTTTTTGAACATTTGTAGGCCACCAGCTAATTTTAGAATGCAAATTGTTATATAGATTTATGATTTCATCATATTTGTACATACAAACTATTTTTTTTTCTTTGTCCATGTAAAATCACATTATATAAAGCAGTAACACAACAAATATAATTGATTTCATTGCATTTAATTGACTATATAGACTATTACTGGCTATACTGACTGTACTAAATTAGACTTTAATCTTTGTTATCTATCAAAGCACAAAGAAAAGCCATCACATTGGTATTACACAATTTGTTTGCCAATCCACATTATCATTTCGAAGACATTTAGACAACCTGCAGGTTGAATTCTGAAAGAGAGGATTTAATCTCTTTTGTGATTAGTTATGTGCTTTATTATCTGAGTCTGAAATGAGAGGTAGAGATAGAATACACTGGTTCAGCATTTGGCCTTTCTTCTGCATTTGAACATGTTTCAGATGTTTCTGAGTCTCAATATTATTTCAGAAAATGTATCTTCTTGCCTTTTTTTAGTCTGTGCTGCATAAAGTCATGGGTGCAAAAAGGAAGTCACTGGAAGTCACTCATACAACAGAGGGCTGGATGTAAGGGAAAAAATACAGGAATGTTTTTGTTATTTGTACAATCATCTTTATGTTACGGCAATATGTATTTCAGTAAAGGGGGCAATTTTACTTTTTAGGGATGACTTTTATTTGTATTTTACCCATTGATAGTGGTATATTTTTTGGAAGAGTGTAATATGTAATACTGACCTTCTAATCGTATATATAAAGTCAGTGTTCAAGGGAACTGAGAGTCAGCTGGGACCATTTGCTTTGGTGAGGTGATTTTACTCAAGGAGAATGGATGTCCTGTTCTGATGGCAAGTACAAGAGAAATCTTCAGAAATAAAAGAAACTAATTTTTTTGAGCATGACTGTACCAATGAGGCTTGAATAGCAGATAGGCACGGCCTGTATTGGGTCAGAATCAGAGGTGCAAAACCTCTGTAACCTGCGTTCTGAGTGAGGGCAGAAGGAGGAGCAAAACAAAGCTTGTAAGGGGGAGGGCTAGACCTAACTGTATATTTATTTATTCAACCTCTTCAGAATGGATATTGGGTGGAAATAGACAAGGAAGAATGGAAAAAGATGTATGTTGAACAGAAAGGCTAATGTTAGAGGTAAGAAGAACAGTGAGATTGAAAGGACAGTTGACAACAAGCTAAATTACATCTTGCAAAACTAATTTTATAGATACAGTGAAGTATTGTTCAGCTATAGAAACAAAGAAATCAAGGAAAAGCAGGGGCCATTATTTAAAAGGAAAGACAGGGACTATAATGAGTGCATGAAAGATTGTACCAACTTTTTTCAGCAGCATATTGCTACGCAGATTAGGGTTAAGATACCCAGGAGGTACTTTCAAATTTATAATTGAGATCTGATTTTAACATGTTAAAGCTGTTACAGTACTTGGTTCTATGAATTTATTTGTATACTTATAGTTTCTTCTGAACTGACAATATGAAGAGGAAATAGGTTTTATTGAAATTGCCTACTTTTAACCTGGTACATTTAACAGTAATCTGGAGAAAGTCAATCTATTTAAATTATTCTTCATAATATCTTCATTTTGTACAGATATTTTTATAGACATTTTACTGTGATAGGTTTCCACATCCTTTACCCTTCTTCAGGAATAAATCAGGTTAATTCATACTGCATAGGGTGACTTTCTAAGCTTTAGTTTCCAGCCATTTACCTGTATCTTCCATCCCTCCAGACTTCTCAAGCTTCCTTCCCTCAGACATCTGTTTCCTGTTAAAAAAAAAAAAAAGTCTGTTTCTTTCTGCTTTCAATAGTTGTGTCCAAGCTGTTATGTTCTTATGATAGCCATTAGTCATTGTTCATCTTACAGCTGTTGTCAAACAGTCTAGGAATCTCTTTCATGGAGTAGCATGCAACAGACTCTGTATATTGCTGACATGATAGTAGTAATTGCTGACATGATTCAGCAACAAGATTTGAATATTTTGATCTCTGTATACCTGTAATTCCTATGGATTTGAGTTTCAGTAAAAAATCTGTTCTTATCATCAGCCACAGGTAGTGTTATGTAGCCATCATAAACATTTTAAAGGAGTGTTGACAGACACCTGGAAATAAAACTGTAAGCTTAGTATGCCTATGTATTCTGTAGTTAAAAAAAAAATATCAAAAAACACAACAGTTTGGTACCCATTGAGATGAAAGCAGTCTTTTAACTGGAAGGATTGTGTACAAGTCTTTCCAAGTCCTTCTAACAACAGTTTATATTGAATAAAATGTCTATGTTCACGTTATATTTTTAATATTTCAGGATTCCAGTTATAGCTTATAGTATAAAAGTAGATTTTGATTGATCTGTTTCCCACTTGGAGTTGTAAGGTGTAATTAGATTTGTTTATATTCCACTTCAATGTAAGATTTGTTTATATTAAGGTATGTACTGCATCAGCAATTGCTGTAGCAACATTTAATGATTTATCTTTACTAACTATAAACTGTACGATAGCTTACTAACTGACTTCTATGCTAGTTAGTAACTAGTATGATTTACTGTAATAACTTCAAACTACACTGTTTATACTATGGTATAAAATAGCAACTATAAATTTGATAATATATCAGAAGAAAGATTCTAACCTAGTGTAAATCTCAAAATTTTAAGCGCAACAGATTTGTAAAGCCAAGAAATCATATTGCACAAGGAGCAGTTGTTTGGCAAAAAAGTTGCTGCAAATCTTAATTTAGTTGAAATTTAGTTCAATGTAGTTAATATAGGTAATTGTATTTAAGTTAATTTAGGTTTGAACTCTGCATATGGTTCTTCCAGATTTGTGTATTCAAGTCTAGTTATTATCAGTAAGTATTCTGCAGCCTGAATTCTCTGACTGCATTCTAGTAGGCAGTAACACATAAAAAGTTTGAAACTACAGATATGTGTAAATTTTTTCTTTTTTTTCTTTTTCAGGAGTTAAAGGTGCCTAAGTTTAGAACACACTGCTTCTCATTATCACTTAATATTACATCATTATACCTAATTAATCCTTTGTGATGTAATAAAGAAAATATAATGGACTTCATACATAATTATCGTGTTACATGACAGAAAGTGAAAGTTTAAATTCTCACTACATGGAACAGCTGTGCTGTTTGCTCTCCATGAATTTTTGATTTGTTATAAAATTTCAGAGCATTTCAGCTCTCAGGAAGAAATATTTGCCAGGAAACAGACCTTTATTATTATGTATCTGTATATATGTAAATAGTATGTATTAACATATTTGTATATATTCTTAAGTATATTCTTATATACTTAATCTTATTCTGATGAAAAATATTTGTTTTGAGATGTAAGGTAATTAAAATCAAAACTTATTTTATTACTTATTGCTCTTTGATATTTCAGCCAGTTGGATAAGACTCATCTTCTCCATTGATGAGATGTTCAACATAGGTTCCCAATGTGCCATATTTGTTAAGCCTGGTTTTCTCTTTTGTCCTTAGTAGTTTTTGTATTAATTCTTGTTAAAAATAATACAAATGTTATTATAATTAACAGAAAACAATTTTCAAAATATAAAAGAATAAAAAACAAAAGAAAGGATAAAATATTAATGTTGGATATAATTTCGAGTTTAAGCCAACAGTTTTGTATTAAAAATTAAAGACTGCAGATCTGTAAGTGAAAAGGAATATAATGCTACCACAGTTGGTTTCATGCCCAGTTAAATTTCTTAAGTAGTTATGTTAAATACTGTGTTTTACAGTGTGTTTGTTAAGGTGACTTCAGGTTTACAACTGGGAAAGTCTTGAATGTTCAAAGTAAATTGTTCTGTTGTTGAGTTTTTGATATCCAATAGGGGCAAAATAATATGATAAAAAAATAAAATAACTGAATTCCCTAAGGCAAATTTACTTCATTATTTTGTTTATATATCAGTATGCTGGATTTAAAAAGAAAGGTGATTTCTGTGAAGCAATTCAAATGGCATAAATCTTGTGATAGTTTAAATGAGCTACTAATTAAGCTGAGCCATAACAAACTTTGGTAGAGTAACAGTGCAAAAACAAACAAACAAAAAAAAACAAGTGAAAGATGTTCAAATATACATTCTAGTTAGTCTATAAAACTTAATTGAAATTGGGTTATTTCCAATACAAAGCTGTTTAATTATCTTTGCAAGAATTACATCAGAAATGGGGGAAATCAAGTTAAAGCGTAAGAAAAGTTTGCTTTTCTTCCTTGTTTTATATATTCTTGAAATACATTTGCTATTTCATTCTACCTCAATGAAATCTTCATGATTTCTTAGGGTTCTAAGATTTACTTATATTTTCTCTGAATTAAGATTAAAAGATATTTGGTAAAAAGCAGTTTTAATCTAGTGATAATTTTGAGGGAGAATTTGTGTGTATCTCTCTGAATTTAATTGATGAGAATAATTTTAATAGATGAGTAATTTGTTTATTTAATATTTCATCCAGGAAGATTTTCACCTTCTGTTGATTTTTTTTAAAATTTCCTAACCTGTTAAGAATATAAGGTATATTTATGAAATGAAGAAGGCAATGAAAACAGTAAAATACTGTTTGAAACAGGCAACTGTTTTCCTTAATGGACTATTAGCTACTGCATTCAGAAACTAAAGAACATTAAGTCTGCATAAAGACAAGTTAGAATTTGTTTAATCAGGGTTCCGTATATTTACTCATAAAATGTGTTTTGCTGAAATATATATTGCTTACATTTCATTAACGATTAATTATTAACCACTGATGTAATAGCTTGCAATAAAGCTATTAAGAACTGGGAAAGTGATGTATTTCTGTCAATATAGGTTTTAAGAACATAGTCTAAATGTGAAAAATTTTAATTGCTGTAAATTAAACACTTTAGCAAAATATGTACACTGAGGATTTTTTGTTGTTGTTCTGCAGTCTCAGTTTGAACTCAGGGTATTCCATATTCGTGGAGAACATGCTGTATCAACTGCTCAGCTTGAGGAAACCATTGCACATCTGAAGAATGAACTTGATAACAAATTAAACAGAAGAAATGAAGAAGCAAAGGATATTGCTGTTTCTACTGAAGATGATAACCCACCAAAGACATACCGAAATGTATGTATACAGACTGACAGAGAAACTTTTATAAAGCCTAATGAAGAAGAAAACAGAGCTGTGAAAAATAACCAAATAGTACCCAGAAAGCTTAATATTTCTTCTTTGACACATTGTATTTCTTCCCAAAGTGAAAATAAGGACAATTACAATATACCAGTTTCAGAAAGTGTCTTATCTTGTCAACCAAAACAAATGCTGCCTCCTCCACCGCCACCACCACCTCCTCCGCCTCCTCCTCCTCCTACCTTTCCTGATTCTTCACTACCAGGTTTAGTTCCTCCACCACCACCTTTGCCAACAGGTTTGACTACACCGACACTTCAGTTTGGATCTGGGCCACCACTGCCACCTCCAGTTTCTGAAGGCTGTAGAGATTTTCAAGTGCCATCACCACCACCACCTCCACCGCTTCCAGGGCTGGGACCTCCTGTTGCTCCTCCACTGCCTGGATCTGGGTTACCTCCACCCCCTCCACCCCCTGGCCCTGGGTTCTTTTTTAATAGCACTTTATCGTCAAGTCAAGGTCCTCGGAAACCTGCCATTGAACCTAGCCGTCCAATGAAGCCTTTGTATTGGACACGGATACAATTGCAAGGCACCAGGTAAAATATATTTATTTAGACTTCGTGGCTATTTATGCATCGTGTCCAAGTGTATGGTCTTAACAAGAAGTAAAATATAAGTGTAGAGGCATGGAATTTACATGTTTAAACAAACAAACAAAAAAGGAATCAGTTCTAGAAGCCTAATAATAATCATAAGAAATGGGTTTAAAATGTTAGATACAAACGAAAATTATATGCATTATAATGGGAAGAAGTTTGTTAGTTTTATTCCCCCAAATCAGAGTACTTCATGGACAACTAGTGGCAGAGCAGCTAGATATTTTAATGGTTCATTGACTTTGCACTAGAGAGATAATAATAATAATAAAAAAAAAAAAAGCCAGGAGGTGAAAAAATATATATTTTTAAATAGAACTAGATTGCAATTGAAATGGTAGAATCTGGTCAAGTGAGAACTTTGAATTTCATCTCCTTTAGCTTTCCAGTCATTTGAGGTGATACCATCTTCAAAGCACTGTGTCAGCCTCTGTAGTTTCAGCTCTGGAAAAAAATAAACTGGGACTAACCTCTGTGTATAATTCCTGGGGGGGCAGGAAGCGTGAAGCATATGTATAAATAAATGCAATGCAGAAATCTGTAGTGTAAAACATCCGGTATGGAGGAGGCTCACTGCTGGTAGAGACCGCTGTACATGTAGTTAAAATAAACAAAAGCTTACCGGTCTTATTTAAATATGAATTTTATTACAGTTTACAGCTTTTTGTCTGAATTTATTTTGATAAGAAAGAATCATAATTCTGGAAATTTTACTCTGGTGTAACCAAACATAAAGTGTTCATATTTTATATAAAATATAAAACAGGAACAAACAGTTAATGAAGTGTAAGTTTTATTTTTTCATTGCTTCAGAATTAAAGGAAGTGAAATATTCTGGAACAGGAATTTTTGGCATTTTCTTGCTTTCCCAAAATTACTAGCGCAAAATAGTGAATAGATAGCTGGTCCAAAAAATAAGCTTTGATGTAATTCTTCCTATTGATTCACTGAGATCAAGACGATCATTTTGAAACATTGCTGGTTCATCAAGCTCTTGCTCAGTGCATAATAAAGTCTAAGTCATAGTTATGGTGAACTGCTGGTCACCTGCTCTAATGATCCAGCAACTATATGATTCCTTAAATTAGAGTTCCTTAAACATTCACTGTAATAAATATGTGTTTGCATATTAAGTAAAAACAATCCTAAATTTGAGAAGAAGTATTTATATGACTTGGATTTCTCTTCCCACTTATGTTGGTAGGTATTACATTTTTTATATATTACATCTAATAAATGTATGTTTGGTGATATCAGCCATTTGTAGCTCATAGCGTTTTCATATCTATATATACATATATCTTTATGTATATATATTATCACAAAATATTTCATTGCCTTTTAGTGACATCTGCTGGAAGAAGTGGGCCCACCTTTCACTGATAAGCATATGACAAGAGTAGTTTGAAGTTAGTTTTGTCACACATACTTTCAAAAAATATTGAAATTTTGAAAGTCATTCAGAGTACTTAGAAAGTCATTCAAGAACTCAGTTTGCAGCACCACTAAGTATTTTTCCTAAATTCAGATAAAACAAGAGGATTGTGTTAATAGGTTCCAAGTGTAAATGGTGATGGTTACCTACACTACATCTGCTTTGAAAGCTAAGAAAAAAAGGAATAATCTCCACGTAAAATTGCAAGTTGGTTGAATGCAGCAATGTTCAGTCTCTGAATGTATAAGCCACATAACTGTTATAGTTTCTTAAACCTGCAACGATGATAACTATGAGGATAAAGCATCTCCGGCTAACATCAAGTGAACCAAGTTCTCTACAAATGTTCTTAAAACGTGCTTGAATAAAGTGTAGTCACTATTTGTTGATATTGTTTATTTTTGTAGGTCTAAGCAGATTACTTGGAATTACTCAAAAAAGCTGTTGTTGAAATACTCTTAATCCTAGTTGAAGTGGCAGAAATCTCTAGAGATGTATTTGCACATGCTGCAGTTGCAGTATTTCGTTGCTTTACAAAAAAAAACTGCACAATACATACAGGTAGTCTACTAAGTAGCTACACTTAGCTACACTTTCACAACCTTGTGCAAAATATTTTGACTCTTGCAAAAGAAAGGTATAGAGAAGGAATGCTATTTGTAGACTAGCTGTGTTTGTTTTGAGTTTTAATTCTATTAAACATATGTTTTTTAATAGATATTTAGTGGAATTTTTATTATTATCTTTCCCTTTATAGGAAAACTGCTATACCTACATTATGGGAATCTCTAGAAGAACCTGATATACTTGATACTACTGAGTTTGAATATTTGTTCTCCAAAGACACCACTCAGGAAAAAAGAAAACCATTATCAGAGACTTATGAAAAAAAAAACAAGGCCAAAAAGGTATTTATTGTTTCTTTGTATTAGCTTTGTTGTTGATTGGTTTGGTTTCCTTTTTTTTTTTTTTTTTTTTTTTTTACATTTTAAAAAACTTAATTTTTTATTTATTGATGAACTACTGCATAATAGATTGGCTTGTAAATCCCACTTTAAAGCAAAATAGGTAAGATTGCTGAATCAACCCTAGCTAGATAATTCAGGTAAATTTATTATTTACTGTGGAAGTTTTCTTCCTTGTGAAAATGAAGGCTCTATATCAGAGTGAGGTAGAAAAAGTAGTGTACAGGAGAACTGAATGGAAGTTCAAATATGTATATAAAAGTACCAGTATTTCAGGCCATTTCTGCCCTTGCAATTATTTATAAGTAAAGGCTATAGTTAAATTATTCTAGCAAACATCTCTTCCATTAAGATTAATTTTGAGAATTATAAATATTTCCAAATATTATAATATATATCATAATATATAAATTTATATTAATATTAACTCCAATATGTGATTTATTTTAATATATAAATTTATATTTCCAAATACTGGAAAAATAAAGTATAAAGGAAGATAGGAAAACCACTCTTTCTTGTTTTGAATAAAGAGTGTCAAAAAATACTTTTCTGGTATGGCTAAATAGCTGTCAAGGAAAAACAGGGCAATCGTATCTTTGATGGCTAAAAGTTTGTGTAGTAACTATGTCATCATCAGAGCAGATACTATTTGCTTCAGATGTGATCTGTTACAGAGAGAGCATATGCTCAGTTACAATGTGCATATAGTACAATAACATTAATAAATAGCATTAGTAGTATTTGCTGCAGGAAAAATTCTGGTCTGAACAATAATTGAATTATGTTTTCCTAAACCAACATTGTTATAGATTATAAACCTGCTTAAATATATACTGTATCATCAATCTGTATGTATCATAAATCTATCATGTTCACCTGCTTGGAACCACAAGAGGGCACTTTATTTGTAAGCTGTGCTTTTTCAATTTTTGTATCTTTTTCAATTTTATCATACATATAAAGTGCATTTTCCTGAAAGTGTATCAGTGAAACTGAGTTTTCCAAAACATCTTTGATCATAAGCTCCCTGTATTGCACTTAGTAGTGTAATTAATGAGAAATGTAAATAAGGCTGTAGAACTTATGAAATTCAAACAACTAATGTGATACCAAAAGTGAAAAATGAGAAAAGAGGCTGGTGGGGAGTTGGAGGGTGGGAGCATGCTGGCATTTGGAAGTATACCCTAAAGGAAATATTTAATATTACAGTCCTTTAAATATCAGATTGAAATTGCATACAAGCACCCCTATGAAAAATATTTTTATATTACATTTTACTTGATAAACACTTCAAGTGCATGTGGCTTGTAACCAGTGTAACTTTAATGGAGAAACAGCATGCACAAATACTTATCTATTTATTTCAAAACATCAGCAACTAAAGGAATATACCTGGATCTCTAGGTCTGTGCAGCAAAACAGATAGAGTATTAGCCCTGTTTTCTGAAATATGAATGTGCATTTTTCTTTTTCCTTACCGTTTTGTAAACTAAATTGCAGCAGCACAATATTTCAATGATCCCTCTTAACTTAATCCAAAATTGAATTCGATAGTAGTTGCTATATACGATGTAGGAAATAATGGTGTAATAATAAGTACCATTGCTTGTGAGAAAACAATGTGTTCTTACAAAGATATATTCTTTATTTATGTCAGTGGTTGAATTAAATAGTTTTGTTTTTAAAAGGCAAGTTTTTATTTTTAGTGCTAGGGACGTATTTACTGGAATTATAGGAATAAAAACGTTCCTCGAAAATACAAACTTAAATCCCCCAAAAGTTAAAAGTTACACATAATATGTGTTACTTAGTTTGGTGAAACTCTTGGGATTATGATCATGGTGTTACAAACCATGTAATATTTTTTTTCAGTGAAGATTTCAAAATCTTTTGCACAATAATACTACAATTTCTGTCATTTGAACCATTGGAAAAAAATAAATCAGCTTTTAGAATTGAAATGAAATTTGAATTTTATTAGGTTTATAAGCATTTCTTATTTTATATTCTGTCTTTCCAACTTTCTTTGCTAAATGACTCATAGTAGCAGTTGAAAATTTTTAGACAGTTGGTTCTTTATATAGTCCTGTATTTTCCTTTGTCTCTCTGAAATCCCAGCTGTCGGCGGGCTAGTTCCAATGGATCAGTCTTGGTGGGCTGTGAGCGAAATGATGATAGGAAGGCATTTTGTTTAATTACAGTATGGTTTGTGAGTAGATGGTAAGAGAAAGCTCTTGTAGATTAATGTAGAACTATCAGTTCTGCTGGCTCCATTTGTCCTTTCTCATACTTTACCTCATGATTCAACTTCTCTTACCTTTTTTCTAACAGTTACATCGATCCAGAAGAGCTTTAGCAGCAATCCTTTTCTTTGCTACAGTGCTGCAAATATGTGCTTGTCTGGTCTTAAGTATGGTGTGTTGTGGTATATGGAATTGTATAGTCTGGTTAAAAATGCTTTATACAGACAGTATGAAAGATGAATCTGATGATGTTCATCATGTGTCATGTGTTTTTAGCTGATGCTGTATCATTTTATCATGATTCATTTTCATTTCATTCATTTTATCATGATTATCATTTATCATGATTCTTCGTAAATTACTATTTAATGTTTTGTAAAAAAGACTTCCCAAGCAAGATACAGCTACATCTGTAGAATCTGGAGTAGCATTTTGTGTTTGGCATAGGTAAATTATTTTATTTAATACTACATCTTAGTGTTGACCTAGTCGTTACATTAAATCTCTTCTCACCCACCCAAATTTTTGTCCCATTTCATACCATCTTATACAAGCTATATTTGGCATGCTTGGTTTTTAGAAAAATGACAGGCCGATAGGCTGTGCAGGATCCCTTGTTAAAACATGATTACTTAATACTTTTCTCCTTGAACGAGAATTAAATCAGTGCTTCACAATCAAGTTTCTTATGCAATTGGAAGAATCTGTCTTTCAAATCAAGGGGGAATTGCTTCTTATTTAACTGGGTCTTCTTTATAAAATCTAAGTAGACTTTAACGATTAGTGGCTTGCTGAGTTATGAAATCTTTACTACCTCTTGTAGTTTCAAATAAAATCATATTATTTAACTTATTCTCAGATTATTTTTTTGTCAGTCAGAATACTCTGTATGCATCGTCTGTGAAATGAATGCTTAAGTGCAAAACAGTGCTTAATTTAAACCTATAGAAATTTCACTTTGTCCTACTCTTACCTATTTGTCCACATAATAGACACTGTAGGACAATCCTGATCAAACCATTCACTGTCAACTACACTTTTATTGCTTATGGTTGTATATATCTGCCTTTTTCAGCCAGAAATATCTAAATCTTGTCCTACATAAATGGAACTGATGATGTCCAATGCTATTTGGAAAGTATACTCATATATATACTAATATAGTATATATACATATATAATAAAATATATAGTCAGTATATATTTTATTCATGTATATAATTACATGTGTAATCATACATGTATATAAAATACAATGTAAAATTTATAATATTTATAATACATAATATATTTTATACACATACATATCCTTGCTGTCAAAATAGGAGAATACATTGAGGATTCAGTGGCGATCAATGCTGGGTCTGGTCATCTGCATATTTTTACTTGTGACCTGGATAATGGAATCTAAACTCTGCTCTCACAGTTACAACTCTCATAGTTGCAAAAGGCTGTGTATGTTTTGGATTAGACCCTTTAGAAAGTTTTTATGTTTCAGTGGTATGATCTGAGAAATAGGGATAAGCACAAGTCTGTACAGTCAAGGTTAATCTACCTACTTAGAAATAAGATGGGGTACAACTGACTGTCTAGGTGACAGTTTAGCAGAAAGGATCCAGGAATTGTAATGGAGCATGAGGAGCATGAATTTTCAAATCATGGTACTACAGAAAGGGAAAACAAGACTGATATATAAACAGAAGTGTTGCTTGCAAGAAAATCTACTTAGCCACGTCTCAGTTAAGAACAGTGTCTAGATTTAGGCACTCCAGGCCTTCATTAAAAATGTTTACTAACTGTGAAGAGTCAAGAAAAGTGGGAATGATCAGAAGTGTAAAAGTAGTCTCTGAGAAAAATTCAATGATTATGATTGTTTAGTCTAGAAGAGAGGAGGTTGATATGGGACACACAGTAAGTATCATCAAGTGCATACAGCTGCTGCAAAGAAAAATTATGAAAAGCTTTTTAAGAGTAAGGATACTAAAGGAATGCAGAGCACTTTTGGCTGGGGAAAATGTGTTTCTGTATTGGGAGATAGATCATTAAGAAAATTTGTTTAGAATTATACACATATAGTTGATACTGTATTGAAGTACAGAAATGCTTTGGATGACGTTTTGAGTGCCTTTCCAACATCGTGATGCTCAATTTAAAGTCATAAAATCCAGTTTCTGTCCATACTCCTACGGTTGAAGACAGCTGGCAGTCCTTTTTTTGAGTGGAAGTGCTTCTGTGACTCCCAAATTCATTGCTTTCATGCCTGCCAGAAATTGGCTTACTAAGTCAGTTACAGTACTTACTTGAGGCTGTCTATTAAGAATGTAATTACTATAACTAACAGTGACCTAATTAAAAAATAAGGTATTCTAACAACTATTTGGGAAAAAAAGGAAGGGAAGTTAACAACCTTCCAACAGCAATGGCAAGACAGTGTCTTAAAGGACTACATTGAGGGAGATTTCGTGTATTTTTTAGGCATATACATTATATTCATTTGACAGTGATAAAATGTGAAAACAATATCGTTTAAATGTTAATTTAAATGAAGGTCAGGTGAAGGTCATATAAATGAAGGTCAGATGTACCTTCTGGTACACGTACATATTCTTAATGTTTGTTATGGTCATGCTTCTCTGGGCTTCAGAAGTTCTTTAGGGTATTTGGCAGCTCATGTACTTCTCCGGAAAATTCAGCAGA